CTAAAATGCGATATTTTCTAAATATTATACAAAATATTTTTGGTGCAAAGTGGAAATTCGAAAATAAAAAAAGAATAGGATAATAATTGAGGAGCGTGCATTGGGAGAATAAAAGGAGCGGCAAGCAAGCATGCATGGGACAGGTTGACACGAGTGCCTTTCAAGGATATGACCAAAGAACAAATTCTTTTCGCACGTGAATGGAAAAACCGGGTCTTGGAATATTCGACCCGCCTGTCACCTCCGGACCCTTTCTCGGTGGCGTGCAGCTGGGAAGAACATATCCAACGAAGAGGTTCTCAGCCTCTCAAATGATATGAATTTTCAAGGTCATTGTGGATTTGTGGCGTGGAGAGCAGGGAGCCATGGAATCAAATCTGTACCGTAGACTGCAGCGAGCATGTTCTTCAATGGAGCCCTAGCTAGTCACGAAACTTGTGCTTTTTCGAGGAATTGACTAGAGACTGGCAAACTGTTCAAATCTGGGTTTAGTGTTTTTGTACTCTATCGCAAGAAACAAAATAAACCAAACAAAAACTAACAGAAAATATCTAGAGAGTTCAAGATATAAAATGACATGCACAATTTATAATTAAAAAAACAAAAAGGAGAAAGAAAAAAAAAAGATTTTATAGTGTAAAAATGATTGTTTGGGTTAAAGAAGGAGTGTCACTCTATTATTATCAAACTAACTGTAATTCTGGAGTGAGTAATATGATTATTATTAAAAGAAATTTTATAAATTAAATCTAATAATCTAACAATATAAAAAAAATTATAAAAAATAATTAAACTAAGTCATATAAATTATTCAAAGATAAGTGACCTCCAATTATTTTTAAAGTTTCATGCAACCCACTTCATTAATAACTTTATTTGATATCGTTTAATTTATTTTATTAATTTTTTTTTTATAATATCGATGGTATTTCCATCAGAGTTACAATAAGTGTTTTGAGTTTTTTATTTTATTTTTCTACTCTCTTCTTATTATAAATTGTGGGAGGCCATTTTATAATTTAAAAGAGTTGCTAGTAACGTGCAATTTGAGAATTATAGATATCAGATATAATTTTTTAAATCATGTTACATCTCTAAATATTTTATAGATTATGTTATTTTATTAATGTTTTGTTTTATAAAAAGTGCTAAATAAAAAAAAAATTCTATTTGTGTTTGGGTTCTTTATGAAGTCTAAAACATGATTTAATTGTAGTATTTTTTAAAAATATTTTTATTTAAAAATATATTAAAATAATTTATTTTATTTTATTTTTGATATCAACATATCAAAATTATTAAATTTCATAAAAAAATAAATTTAATGTTTTTTTATGCTAAAAACATCTATCAATTTAATATTTTTTTATTATTTTTCATGTTAAAAATATTTTTAAAACGTATAAAAAAAGAGTTAGGAATATGCAAAACACACCTAGACATTTTGCTTCCCTTTCGTCATTCCGCTTGGCTTGGAAGGAAGCCGATGTCACCATTGGAGAAGATCTTACATGCCACATTGATGAACTAATTTTATCCATGCAAGATGTGTGTGACTATCTAAATTCACAACCTAGGAGTGTACATGAACGGTATAATCTGCCTATAAAGACAGATACACAAAACACTTCCAATCCACGAGCACACCAGGGAAAGGCAGGAGAGCACGTGTCATCAAGAAACAGGCATGTCTACTTGCAATATCTGGAGCATACACTACCCAAGACATGACCTAGCGAAGTGTGCTGAAATACGTGGTTGGCACTAGACGGTGGATGAACTATGATTATCAGCTTCGTGGTCTTTCGTTAACCTATCATTGGAGATGAAGCAATTCCATATGATCTCAAAAATCAAGATGATGGTGTAAAGAAGCAAATGCTCATGTGGGACTGCAGGTAAAACTATACCAGCAAAGGCAATCTCAACCTATTTGAGGACAGAATGCAGCACTGGTATTTTACATCTCATTATTCATTGCTGCATCATTTTATCACCATTCACCTGTGAGGTTAAACTAGCCAGAGATATAACATCTACTGCGATGTTGCATTGCTGATGCTTGCGCATGGGAATAGCAATAAAAATGTAGCACTGCCTCCATTATTGCAGTTTGGGCCACTAGAACTCTCTACTGAAAGGATTTACAAGAAGAAACTATCATATAACATGACAAAGGTTGCTTCAGCAACATTGTAAAATTTGACATTTCAGTTGATCACCTGAAAATTGCTCATTGTCATAGAGAGTTATGATAACTCAAGAATGCAGATAATGATCTCTAATTAATTTAACAGATGCAAAAGTTTTAGGTGCTTAGAATTAAACCCCTAGATGCTTCACATTCCG